GATCGTGGGCGGCCTGTTCAGAGGCAGGTAGATAAACAATTAGAACCTTTGGTTTAGTAGATTTTTGTTTTTTATAGTATTGTAATTTGCAACTTTGAAACATATTTTTTAAATTTTAACTATTGTCTCTCTTTTAATGTTTACAGTGTATGAAAAGAGCACCCCAGACAGATTGCTATTCTTAATTTATTTCTTTACTCTTGTTTTTTTGCAAACTCTATAAATGGCACAGAGTGAACATCACGACAAAAAGACTCAATATATACAATATAGAGACAGTGGAATACTGACAGGGAAACACAAAAGTTGTTTTCATTACATCTTATTAATATTAATCTGAATAATTGCAGAGTCCAAAAATTGACCTGGGCCATAACAGAAAGGGAACAGAGGGTTAAAAATCGTCCACATCTCAATGACATCACAAAGCAATTTTACTTTACTATGTATTAAACTGGGCTTTGGCACTTTCAGGAGAACTTCACTGTTTGTTTGTCTGAGTATTTATGGTTTTATTATATTACAAAGTCACATTATCAGCAAAAAGAAAAACAGAATAGGTTACTGTACCCAGAAGAAACAGAGGTTTACAAGCCTCCCCAGTAAAAAATACAAAACAAACTCTGTGCACAGCTTTTATAATTGTGAACACATAAATGAAGTGATTGTGGCCAGCCTAGACCTTTAGAGTCAATAAAAGGAAAGACTGTCTATGTAACTTTTTTTTACTTTGCCACTTTGAAATATTTACTGTGCATACAAATATTTAAGCTCCCTTTTGTCTATTACATTTTTAAATTCACCAAAATGAAATCCCTGCAGTAAATAAACGTTTAAACTAAAAGCAGATCATAACCACTGCTGTGCCAGCTAGGCTGTCCTTTGGCACTCATGTGGGGGGTTTGCCTCACTTTCTATTCTAAAATGTGAAGTGCAGTCTTAAAGCTTTTTTCATCTCAACTTCCACCATATCCCTTTACTAAAGTTTCTTGAACATACACAAAGAGATGGAAAGATGAGAGGCTTTCAGCTAGGGAGTACGGAAAGAGGGCATGACTCTCAGTAGCTTCAAGTCTTAAAGGATCATTTAGAAGGAAACTGGGCCATAGTTAGAAACAGGTAGAAACCAACACAGTTAAACACCAAACATCTAAAAACTATGTGACCTTATGAGAATAATGATCTTTTGGTTTTTCCTGCGATGTTTCCATTTCCGGCGTTGCCATCGCATAACATGTAAACCTAGCATTCAGACAGGATTTTCTGAATGGACACACTGATTACAGTTTATGGATAGTGTTACTTTCTGTTAGTAACTTCACTGTAGCTTCACTGTTACACTTGTTTCCCTCTTATTCACACACATGTATTCTGTCTTGCTTCTGCTTTAATCCCTCTTCTCCTCAGAGCATACCCCCACCTCTCCAGGCCCTACTCCACCTGCTCCCTACTCTCACTACAGTTTACAATGTGATCTGCAAACATCACAGTCCGTAGAGCGTCCTGCCTGACCTCATCTACCAAATACGAAGGAGCAAAGAGACGATCTCTGATGTAATCACACGTCCACACTAATACCACATACCTCGTGCTGTCTCTCTGTCCTTATAGATGTTCTGCACCACTCTCACATACTTGTCTGCCACTTCTGACTTCCTCATACAGTACCACAGTTTCTGTCTTGGCACTCTATCCCATTCTGTCTCTAGATCCACCAAGACACAGTGAGCTGCACCGCAACTTCTGACCTCCTCTGTACTTCTCCATCAACACTCTCAAAGCAAACATTATCTGGTCTTTAAGTCTGACGTCATTAGCTTTTTCTGGGTCCAAACTCCGCTTCAGGTCCCAAAGTGAAACGAACACTGCGGGGTCACTGAGAGTTCCAAACTGTCTAAATTCATCTAATCTTTAATAAAATGGTCAATGTGGCTGCTCTACAAGGTGTAACAAATAAGTTTAACATCCAGGCATTCATGAAATCAGAATTTACGAAGTTTAACAGAGGGAGTTAGCTCACTAGTTTCCATCTAAAGTTGATATACCATGTTATGACAGAGGGATTTCTAAAAAATTACAAAGTACAGCTCAGCCATCGCTTCCAACATAAATGAAGAAGTTGGACTAGCTGGTATATAACGATGTGCTACGTGATCACGGGCGAGTTGTGACACAGCTATGGTTAGCTATATATAAATGCAGTGAAGCTGGAGGATGAACACTAACGTTTCTTCCACTCAATGAAAGTTAACGCGAGGGTTCCCGATGATTAGAGACAAATGCAACCGGCAAACTTCAGTCAAGAGAACAACGGAGATAATCCATCCACAATACAAGGTTAGTCATTAATGCTGCATCGTAAGGTTTTAAAAACTAAGCAAACATGCCACCAATGAATAGTGGAAATAAAAGCCGAGAGAGGCAGATAGTGATCAGTTCTTCAGATTAAATAGATCAAGATACAAAGATTAAAACGTGTTAAAAACACAACAGCCTTAATACATGCAGAGTAGTTTGGACCTGGAAACAGGGTTCATACTGTCATGGACCTAACAACCTGATATCTGTAGTGCTTTTTCTTTGCATACTTCTGCTTTTCTTAAACTAGCTTCATAAACTATTTTTCATATCTTCATGGTATGGGTGATGAGCTTTATTCCCCTTTAGTTACTACAGGTCTGCACATCACCATTGTTGTTGAAAATCGGTACCAGTTTCTTCTTCATTTCCGAGGTATCCTCTCACTTTCCAAGACTGTGTTAAACATTCTGGTTAGTTAGTCCACTCCTCTCTGTATTACCATGGGTATGTTATCTGGACCAACTGCCTTTCCACTCTTCATCCTCTTCAAAGAGCAGACTAGAAACCCAACTTCAGGGTTAACGTTGGATTTTCTGTACTGAGAGGGTGTATCAGTGTTTACCAAGGTATATCGCCAAGCTAAACTATGTTTCAAATTTATTTTCCATTGATTCTTTCCTTGGTCTCATGTATAGGAATTTCTTTTACTTATGTATTAATCACATTATTTTATTGTATAATACCTTGGTGCCACTGGATTTTAACATGTCTGACACTCATACTGTAAGACAAATGGTGGGGGTGTAGTAAGGAAGTTGGGGGAAGCAGACAACGCCACAGGAAGAGTCTTTTGTCTCTCTGAGGACTCTGGGAGGTAGCAAGGGAGTGTGAACCTTAAGGTGTGAAACAGCTGTGTACTGCCTTTTGTTCCTGAAGAAGGTATTTAACTGAGAGCCATGCTAGGCTCAGGGAGACTCTGCTGACCTGCCCCGCGGTCATGTAGGCTCTCCACAAGCTTGGTTTTCTGTTCTTTGTGTGTTTGGATTAAAGAATGTTAGCTACCGCTCACCGCTCGTCTGCAGGCTTTATTTAAATGGAAAACTTCCACAACACTCGGTACACTAAACACCACTGAGGCTGCAGCAGACGGGATGAAAAGCACAGCAAAATACAACATACTTTTTTTCTTTCTTTTAGTTGTTGATTACACATTTAGGAAAATCAAGGTCAATGGAATTTTGTCAGTGTCACACAAACATATAAAAGACATATAACAGAAACATTGAAGGTTAAATGTATATTTTTGTTTTGTTTTATGTTTTAGGACAGGTTATTCGTGTTGCACAAACAGAAGGAGAAATTACAGAACATGGGAAGTCATTCCACTTCTTTACGTTTAAATAGTTCATGTGACCACAGTGTTCAATTCCCTTCCAGTTGTCTGGCTGTTGTGGATACCAGTGGACAAACCGAACTGCACAACCATCAGACCACATCCATCTGCCTTCTTTATGAAGGTCACTCAGACCAATCCAGGTGTGTCCCTCAGTGTGGTCAAAGTTCTTAATTAAGGTTCTGACAAAGTTCTCTTCCTCCCTGCTGTGGATAGAAACCAGGTTGGCTCCCTGTGACACACAGTAGAGCTCTGCATCAGCCCAGCTCATGTGTGCGGCGACATATTTGTAGCAGCGGCCATTGAAGCTGTACCAGAACATGGGGCAGTTTCCATGCAGTAGTTGAACTCTGGGGTCATCTGAAGAAGACACAGACACAGTTAGGATCAAGTGAAAAAGTACGAGTTAAAGAGATCGTGTTTTTGCAGAAATAAAGCAGGTCAGCTCTGGTATTTCAAGGGTGACACCTGGTGACAGACTGTTTTCTTTGGTCTAGTTTTCAAGCCTTCACATCTTCATTGTTAAACCCCTGAACTATTCAGAGAAGATTGGTTACATGTCTGTCATTTACAGATCAAAGCTACAAATAACTGCCACAGTGAAAGTTGAAATGACTGTTCACTTTGTAAGAAGTCTATTATCTAACTTTAATCTTACTTATTTATGGTGCCAAAATGAAAGATGAAAGTCTGCCCATCAATGTGAAAGTTAAAATACACAGAGAAGAAAGTGGGGCTTATTATGGTTATTGGCAGGTCTTTATCATAACTCTATGATTTAGCAGAAACCATCTGGTATGGGAAGAAAAGAAATCCATATTATAATCCTACACTAATACTTTTTGGATAACACTACCTGCTGAAACAAAAAACATCAGAAACATAAGGAAAACATAGAATGGTTACCAAGTTGGAGCTTCATTTTATTGCCATCAGACGGAGACTCAGAAGGAGCACCCAGAGCCGGACCAAACAAGAAGAGGAGCAAGATCATGTTGGAGCTTTAAGTCTCAAAGTGTGATGAGGAGCTGCTGAAGCTTCTTTGTACAGGATTCGAGGCTGCTTTCTTTTATAGCTGCCAGAGAGGGTGTTTTCACTGCTGGTGTGACATCACTGGCCAGCTGGACCAAAATTATACACTGTAAACAACACTAAACATAAGCCAGAAAAAAAAAAAAAATTCCAAAGAGATTAACAAAGGTTGTTTGTTTTTTGTTGTGTAGCGTATATTTATTGTACAATAAAGGTGTTATATGCATGATGACTAATCAAACCTAACTGACTAAACACAAGCCAGTAAAAAGGTAAAATTTCACACGTGCCTGTTTTTACTGTGCAATTATATTCTACTGTGTCATAAAAGGAATCGGTTACTAAAACAGATCAGACCAGAGCACCTACAGGAAGAGAAAAGAAAAAAACTCCTCAGCTCCTCTAGTAAACAGAAAGAGAACAAACTCCCCCGATGCAGCCCGATTTCTTTCTTTCTTTTTCTTTCTTAGAAAGAGAAGTAAATACAGTGTGAACTGCCAGCCATCTGAGATCTTCACAGACAGTGCTGTATGACTATGGAATTATATTTATGTCATAACAAGCACACAGCAAAAAATAATCTGAAAAAATAATTTCTGTTCATAATGAGAAGCATGCATCATTCCTAAGAAAAATGTAAATAGTTCTTTAGTCAGTTGAGTAAACTTAATTTGTAAACTTACATAAAAATATGACATGTGCTTATGTTGCTGCCTGTGAAACAGCTGTACACGTCTGGCTGCAGAGATCCACTCACTGTGGGTTCAGGAAACAATGAAACAATTACACTGTAAAACCCTCCACTAGGGTACATTAAATCACATCACTACTGATGTGTGGCATAAGTAGACATAAGTAGAACAAACAAGATGATGGTTTCTGTCACACTGACAGAACTGATGTGCACTGCTCAGGTGGGATCGAGATCCTAAGCCTGAACCTTTGGCACTGAAGATGAACACAAGAGCCTCCAATAACTTGGGAGTAACACTTAAAACCTGCAATGTAAAATGTAAACTTAGATGATTTTTTTGTTTGTTTTTTCATTTTCAGCATATGAATAATACCAAGATAATGTGTAACTTAACACGGATATAAAAATAGAACAGAGTATCTAACATGTTAGGCTGACTGTGCAGACAAACGTGTGTTTGGATTCTGGCCAACTCCTCTTCCTCCTCACTGTGGATAGACACCAGGTTGGCTCGCTGTGACTCACAGTAGAGCTCTGCATCAGCCCAGCTCATGTGTGTGGCCACATATTTGTAGCAGCGCAGATTGAAGCTGTACCAGAACAGGGGACAGCTTCCTTGCAGTAGTTTAACTCTGTGGTCATCTGAAGAAGACACAGTAGTCAGAACTTAATGGAAAAGTAAGAATGAAAGAGATCATGTTTTTGTTAGTGTGACAGACTTTTTTCTTTGATATTCTTCAGAGATGGTACATCAGGCAAGCACTTCAGCACAGTTGACACTGTGGAAGTTAAAACATGCAGAGAAGTAAGCTGTATCTTATTATGTTTACCAGCAAGTCATAATCATAACACTACAGTATAGTAGAATCCATCTGACATTGGTAAAAGAAATGTATGCTTCAATCCAACATCAAGAATTTTGTATCATTGACTGCTGAAACAAAAGATATAGAAGCATGAACAATATGTTCTTTGAGTGAAAAAACAAAAGACACAAATAAAGGAAAAAGTAGAGAAAACAGGGCTTACCAATATATGGGACAGTTACCAAGTTTAAGCTTCACCAAATGGTACAACTGGTGCTGCTTAGGCTTCACTGTACAGGATGTTCATATTTCTGAATTCAAAGTTGAAGCTGCTGTCTCATGTAGCTCCCTGAGAGGGTGTTTTTACTGCTGGTGCGACATCATTTGCCACATGGACATAGCAGTAACATTTTCTTGGGACTTCCAGGAGAACGTGACTGTTTTTGCTGTAATTGTATATTTATGGTATGGTATATACTTCCCTACATTAAAGAGCATTAGCTCTCTTTTTAAAATAGGTTTTTCTATCAAATGTAATAAGTGAGAGTTTTGTTCTTTCCTCTGCTTGCATTTATAAATGCGATACGACCATGTGGCGTTTAAAGCTTGGAAGTACTGACATTACTTTGAGTTTGATTTTGTAAAAAGTGACAAAAACATTAGCGTCCGCTGTACACTCTGTGTGGGAAGAAAACTTCTTTCTACAGCGAAAAATTCAACTTCAAATGTGAGCAAGCACATAGCACGCCACCACAGGAATGTGAAATTAACAGAGAAACCCC